CTCTGGACCCACGCCCCGCATCGACGCGAAGAGGCGATGGTGCCCGAGGCGCACGCCGCCCGGCCCTCACCGCCCGCCCCTCCCGGACCTGGGGACCGTGGAGGCCACGGCAGAGGGGACTTCCCCTTCTGCCCTGTGTCCCCTCCTCGCTGGGGACCTGCTCCCACTGGGGTCTGTGCTGCTGGGTGGGGGGCTAGGAGGTCCTGGCAGAGGCCAGCACACCCTCCCCTCCTGTGGCAGCTCTCGGGGCCCTGAAGGAGGCTGGCTCAGAGCAGGTGGCAGCGGGGGTGGCGGTCCCTGATTTCCCCCTGTGGTGGGGGCCGCAGCTGGGTTCAGGGTAGCGCTGTGGCCAGTGGCCTCTCCCGTGACTTTGAAAAGCCCTGAGGTCATTTACAGAGGTGGCGAGGACTCTATAATCCAGGACAAAATCCCACACATGGACTTCCATTGTCACAGGCAATGGCAAAGGCTTCACCTGGCAGGCATCAGGGAAGGCGGCCGACCCCTACCACACCTGGCACCCAGCAGAGCTTAGCGGGCTCAGGCGGGGACTCCCGGGGCCCCTCCTCCCAGGAGGGGCCTTGTAGCCCACACTCTGCTCTCCCAGCCCTGCGTCCCCTCCCCCTCCTCCCAGCTCCCCCCGCAGTCAGCGGGACCCCCTGAGACACCGCTGTCATGGCGTCCCCGGGGAAACGGGACACTGGGGCATGGCGCCCTTCCTCTTGGGCCCTCGCCTGTTCTGTTTCACTAGGCAGGCGAAGGCCTCGGAGTCGCTTTCAGCTGGGCCCTAATGTAACCGCCCGGCCCACTACCTGGCAGCTGGACTCCTGGTCACACCCACCTGGTTGCCCGCCATGGTCTCGCCTATAATTTGACGGTAAGAGTGGACGTCCCCCAAGGCCACAGAAAGCAGAAGATGACAGACGTGCGTGTGCAGTGACGCTATGTCCTCACCCCTCACCGCTGACCAGTGACGCTGCGTCCTCACCCCTCACCGCTGACCAGTGACACTGAGCCCTCAAGCCCACCACTGCTGACCAGGTTACAGCTGCAGGAAGCCACAGTCTGCCAGAGCAGGAAAGGGGGCGCCAGCGGGGACACGGGGACAGGGAGTCTCGGCTTTAAAATGCCACGGACAGGGACGAGAGCGAAGGTCCGTGAGGTGTAGTCACTGCTTCAAGGGGTGGGACCCTCGGTTCCAGACAATCAGGCGATCGTCTGAGAACAGCTTTGTCTAAAATCAGGTTCCATTGTGCGCGTGTGGGGGGGGGGACCTCAAAATGCCAGGCCCCTGCTGCGCTCACAATGTGGCCGCTTTTTTCTTCAATAGGCGCTTTCAGCTTTTATGCCTGTGAGTAATTTCCAGAGTTCTGAGCTGTTTGGTGTTTTCCATGCACGATTCGCCCTTGTGTTTGCGGGGGCAGGGAGAATGTTTACTCGGTCCTCTGTCTGCCACCTTGGGGACCCGTGTCCTGCATCCTCACGGGGCGGCAAGAATCAAGATCTTGTTTTAACTACGGGTTGTGAACACAGGCAGAGGTGTGGGGTCGCCCGTGGCCACCCGCCCCGCATGGAATGCAGGCCCGGTGGCTTTTCCAGGGTCACTCAGGCCCAGAGCGGCTGCCATGTAGCCGTACCCCCGGATTCCGCACAGAGCCCTGGGGGACACGCAGAATTAGCACCAGCGGTGTCCATTTGGGGGGCGGGTGGAGCCGTGGACAGAGACGACGTCGTTACCAGGCTTTCCTTTCAAATATTTAAGCACGTGTGTTAGAATTCGAATGTCAAACGACTTCACGAAATTTCAATTGTGAACAATTATAAATGAGGAGGGAAGTGGTATAAATCTCTCCCTATGATAATCTCGGCAGCGTCCTCGGGCTCGGGAGGAAAAGACACGTAAATGTGAAGGGTCCCAGTGATTCGGGAAAGAGGGTGGGGAAAGCGTGGGGCCTGGGACCTGGGAGAGGGACGCCCGGCGGCCTCCGGGGAGAA